GGGATACATTATTAACCAGTCTTACCAATCGCTAGCTTTATTTTATTCAAATCCATAAAATTCACAAGTTTTTCAACATTTATTGGCAACTTCCGCGCTAAAAATGGTTGAAAATGTGGGTGTGGTTCTCTCGCAAAGTCCCGTTGATAATACGGACAAATATGGTTCTGTGACCCAGGTCGTGCTCCGATCATGTGACTTTCAGCAAATCAATGATGTTGTAACAAAGCATATTTGACGCTAATTGAAGGGTAGTCGTACTGTCCAATCTCCGGCGTCGATTCACTGTGCTGTGACAGGCTTCACAATCATTCACTGAAAAACATCGGTTTATTTTGACAAACTGCTGGGATTTGACCTCAGTTCAAAAAAAGAAAAAAGAAAAACTGGGCTGAGATACAAATCAGTTTTGCAAGTTGGGAAATAAGGTAAACCAGATTGGGGTCGATGATATTCAGTATCGAAGGACTTCCGTGTGTATAATAAGTTTCAAATTGTTCATCGACTGGTCACCAAATATTTACGGCTACAAGTTCAACTAAATGAACACATTTTTTCCAAAGCCCAATAAATTATTTCTGCACGTCAAGTGCTATTCGATTTTTTACCTGTGGCTCGTTTTTATTCGAAAATATTTTTTGTGAGAATACTTTTAAAGTACGTATAGATCGAGCTCAGGTCACTGATCGTGACTTAATTTTGAAAATTGGATGTAAAATTTTACCAGACCGACGCCACCACAACCATCCAATCATAGTTGGAAATGTACGCACTTGTTTTGGAACTTTGTATCAAGGTGGCAGGCGACAACACCGACGCACCAGGCGGCGTTCGCGTGTTTTGCATGTATTAGTAGTCCAGGCATGGAATCGGACTCGGCTAAAACTAAACGAAACACAGAAAAATACCACCGAAATGAGGAATCTGAATCTGTTCTCTTACCAGCAAATAAAATGAACGAAAATAAGGTAATTTTATAACAAGAACAGTTTCATTTCGTATAGCAAATTGTGTTGTTTCCGAACGACGATTGCATCGTGTGATTTAAATTTATCACATTTTTCCTTGCAGTCAATATGACTCTCGTCACCTTGCAGATTGCAATGTACTTCACATAGTTTTTGGTACCCAATACTCGCAACATTAAATAATTAAACAAGATATCTTTTTAAAATGTCATTTTACTCTTGGTCATATTATTTTATTCCCCTTACCGCTTTGAATTTTAAATCGATTACATATCGAACTTCTGTACATGTGTTTTTTCTCTACTGCCTTTCCATGTGAAAATAATGAGGTCATACTCATGTCACAATACTTTGAAGCTGATGCCATGTTGATGCCATGAGACTGCGAAGCTGAGGCCACGATGATGCCACAAAATAAGAGAGGCGAACACAGCTCCAATTTTCAATGATGCGAAGCTGATGCTACAATGATGCGATGCTGAGGCGACAATGAAGCCATGCGTATGCGACAATGATGCCACAAAAGCCAAAGCTTCCGCGAGAACTGTACTGTAGCTACGTTTCATTTTAGCTAATTTGACTCAATGCATGAATTAACAGAATCCTAATTTAGCTAAAGTGTCAACAATATTATTGTTTTGAGAATAAACTTTATTTTAAATTAGTAACTTCTTATTGAATTACAATTACAAATTGGCTAAAATAACCTGCTAGCTATACACATTTTACAGTATTCTGTATATGAAAGCTATGTTGCTTATGTGTTGGCTGGTTCCCTCCTCAAGTGTCTTGGCGTACCAAGCCACAAGAGGCCGGTAACTCGTAATGGTTCCGGCATTCTGATTGGTCCGTCACTTTCTCGTTGGTTGTTCTATTTCCCTTGGTTACCCAACATCAACACTTACTCTCGTGGTCCTAGAGCAGGGATTTCCTTTTACTTTCGAAAGTTGGGCGAATAAAAAACAGTTTCTTGTGTTATAAATTTGCAGAGAAACAGCAAGAAATGCCAGAAACATCTCAAATATGTAAGTCTAAGCAGGCAGAATGTATGGGCATGGCGTAATGAAGACTTGTTTACAGAAAATGAATATTAGAACTTTTTCAAATTATGTCACTTAGTCACATGACTTTGGAACAATATGGCATTTACTAATTATCTGTGGCCTATTTCCCATTCGCAAAGGACGCAGGGAATCAGCGTATGCTTGTATGTTGCTGTGTTTAAAGTTTAGGGCGGTATATGCTTATATATTATTCTAACATTATTAATTGCTGTCATTAATAATAATTGTTTTCTCTGGTTCTTTTACAGCAACTACCGAGACCACTTCCAGTGCCTCTCCATTTAGCTCTCCAGCAGGATCTGGTTCTGAAAACTCGGGTAATATTGCATGTTTCCAAATTTCCTCTCAAATGTTGAAGTATAATTTTCTAAACTTTCTCATTTCAGAGATTCCCTCTAAACTTTCCTCTTTCTGTGCATTCCTTCGCATAGCAGTATTATTGTCTGACTCAGATAGTGCAAGGTAATGCTGGCAAACTATCTTAAGTTATTGATTTACTATTCCAACTTTTAAGGTTCTCTTATTTGTTTGGGTAGGAGGAAATTGTGAAAACTACAGATCAACTCGTATATTCAGTATTTCTAAAAGTCCGTGGCTATGCCTGCCATTGGTTAATTTTAATGTGACATTTTGTCACCTTTCGAGATATAAATTTGCATATGTCAGTTTTGAGTCCAGCAATGGAAAGTTGTGTTTATTTGATCCACCGGCAACTCCTTTGATACCTTCCAATCATCCAAAAAATTGCCTAATTAAAGCTTGGTAATGTCTCAGTTTGTACTCAGTGATCTGCTCAACAGTCAAAGTCGCCATCTTTGTTTATATGAGACCCAAGACATGGCAAGACGACCACCGCCCAGTAATATAACATAACATAACACTGCAAATTATGCAATCACAAATAACTCCCTGGTTTGTAATTTATCATGAAGTGTTAAAATATGAATTATACTTAGCAATTTGATGTATTTGATGTTTTTTTCAGATGACTCTGGGAGTAGTGATCAAGTTGAACAGCTCGATTTAGCAGATAACACCAATAGTACTAATCTGACTGAACTATCAAATCTTGGATTAACATCATCTTTAGCATCTTTATACTCAGGTAGGACAATTCAAGCCAATGATGCAACAGATGGCTGAACAGTTTCTTTTATTTCAGTGGAACATCTGTCTTACTGTTTATATATAGATCCATGAAACTCCAGCATTTCATGGATCAACCAATGCTTGCTTCATTATCCACGTGATTACCATACTTTGTAAATAAAATATTAATTACATTTATAATTTATTTAGTTTGTAAGCAAACAAATGAAGATGTACTTGTCAAAATAAAATGTTAGAGATGTTGAAAGGGGGTAATGAGGTATGGCTGATAAAACAGCCTCCGGACGGAAATATTAGATTATTGGTGCGCCTAGTGAAGTAAATGAAGCATTTTTGTTTGTTTCAACAGACGCTGATATTCAGAAGAACTTGCCACAAAATGAGTCCTCTTCAAATAATCACCATGACAACACTACTAAAGGCTCAGCAGATGCCGTGGCTATATGTCTATTAAAGAAATTCTCAGCCAAATTATTGCCAGCAGCCTCAGATTTAGACTGGCTCGTATCTGAACAAGATGTTCCTCAGGCAGTAAGTAACAGTAACAGTTTCGGCATTGTCGTTTGATTTATTTTATTTGTGTATTATTCTGTTCTACATCCTTCACATTTATCATGTGCCAAACTGTATTTCTAATAATGATAATTTGTTATGTAGAATACTATTTCAATGAAAAATCACCAAATCTGTCAGCCAAAATAATCAAAACTGTTAAGTATCTCTACTTCCAACATTCTGGTACTGCAATGTTTAATGCTGTATCTTTTCCTGTCTTTTTTTAGTTACTACCATTACCAAAGTCTTTCCCTATTTCACCCGACGATGGTGAAAACTCTGATCTTGCATTTCCAAACAAAAATGTAAGTATAAAACACATGTCATTAAATTAATAATAATATAGATTGGAAGATCTCTAATACTTTCCACTTTAGAGAACAAGTGTATGTTCAATGAATTTGCACATTTTTTTGATGACTTTGGATTTGTCATTTGCAGATTCGAGTACGCGGTAATTTAGAGTGGGCTCCGCCAAGAGCACAGATTATATTTAACATCCATCCTGCACCAAGGTTAGTTTAGATGTTGTGAACTACTTTCTAGATTTCACTCTTCTATTGTACAACACCATTATCCTGCTATCATGCTATCAGTTGGACTACTGTTGGATAATTTGTACCATCTGATTGTTGCTCTTTTCCTCAAGCAGTTCAGCCATCTGGCAGGATATGCCTTATTCAAATGCTGTTAATCTGTCCTGATGTTTCTTATAACGAAATCAAATTAACATTTGTATTCATGCACTTTGTTGTAGACTTATCTTGACTGATTGTTTTCAAACTCCACACATGCATGGTCAAATGCATGTTGATTTAAAGAATGTTGTTCTGGAGCCATATCTGACTGATTGCAATCAAACTTCTCACATTGTGTCGCACCTTGTGACATGCAACTTGACTGATTTGTATTTGTTGTAGTAAAAATGCGTCAAGTTCGAGGCTTTGTTGACTACATGTAGATTTCAAGTTTTCGTGGATGAATATTCTTCAAATATGGTACACAATTTGTCAGATCTGCAGTATTATATAATCATATGATACAAATATTTCTTGGTTTTGAAGCAAGCAGAATTGGATTCTCAGTTTTGTTATGTTCACTTGTACTCACTGAATGTCATCTCAGGAAAACTGCTAGAGTTTGGGAGTTCACCTCATGTATATTCTAAAGCAAATTTTGAAAGAATCGCTGTCTGAAATTGGTCTTGTGAGAAAGCGAGGGATACTTATTAACCTCTGTTGTTTTTAGTATTTTGTTGACAGCATCACTGTGTTATGCAGGAAAATTTGTTGACTGAATCCTCAGTATTCCTTATTTGTTATATTGTGTCTTCTCAACAGAAGGAAAGTTATAATTGCAAAACAGAACTATCGATGTGCAGGTTGTGGAATGAAAATTGAACCAGGTAAAAAGATATAACCATTAATATTTTAAACATCATAATTTAACAAATTGTATCTGCAAACTAGAATAACAAATACCGGTATGGTATGACAGAAACCTGTTTTTAAAATTAGCATATTTGGCGAGAGATAATATCCAAGCATAAATAGTGCTGATTTAGTCAGTTTCGTAACAGGATCACAGGTCAGGGTCCATAGCTCCAAGAGCCAAATGAGTTCCAAGACTTTTCCAGACCTTTCCCCAAACTTTTTTGCATTTGTCCCAAGACATTTTGACCCTTAATTCAGGACAACATCATCACCAAAGCTGATCAAAGTTCTTAGGATATGGTAGTTCACTGGAGAAAACGGGCCTTTCTAAAATGAATTAATAACTGTGAAGAAATTTAAAGATTTTTCAAAGATTTTTTTAATTTTCCTGTAATTTAAAGACAACTCAAAGACTTTCCAGACTTAAAAAATCAAAAGACTTTCAAAGGATTTTCCCAACGCTATGGATCCTGCAGGTCTTCTAGTGCCACATATAAGAACTTGCTTTAACCAATCAGATGGCTAGATTCATGTTATAATAATTACAATGTTATCGTAATGTATCTATCATGTGCTTGATATGAAACTATAGGTTATATGAAAAGACTCCGTTACTGTGAATATCTAGGCAAGTACTTCTGCCATTGTTGCCACGCAAACGGCATGACAGTAATTCCAGGAAGAATTCTACGCAAATGGGATTTTCACAAATACCCAGTTTCCAATTTTGCCCGTGATCTCATCACCAAGATGCAGAATGATCCGTTTTTCAACGTGACCGACATCAATCCGTCTTTGTACCGAAGGGTGAGAAGTCTAGAAGCAGTTAGGGTAAGTTTGGGTCCATCGAAAGAAATGTTAGCGTTTTGATGATTTTATGACTTTCGTGAGGTCAAAATTTAACGAAAGTTTTCGGACACCAAGTGATTTGTAGATTTAAGAAAATTCATTTTTTTTTAAATGATGTGCTACAAAATGACAAAATCTTTGTTTCCATGGAAACAACCATGGGTATACCTTCTTTTTATTAGTCCCCGTTCAGGTGCAGCCTGAAAAGGGGACTGTATAATTCAGGTTATGTCCATTTTTCCGTCTCCAACATTTTCTCAGAAAGTATACAGCAGGTATCAGTGAAACTTGGCAGGTTGATGAACAAGTCTCTACTGAGTATGCACGTAATTTTTTTTTCCAGATCTGAAAATCCCAAGTGGGTCTTTTTCATGATTTTTATCAAAAATTACCTCTCTCGGCAACATTGACAGAACGTCTGCGCATGCTCAGAATAAATTAATTACTGTAAAATACTTTATTTTTGCTTGCAACATTTTTGCTATTTTCGCTGAAGGAATGTTTCAGTTAAAATAAAATCCAGCGAATATTCCCTTTTTCCTATATTTTACAGTCAAACTTGTCAAAAATCAATGAAAATAAATTCAAAACAAAACAAAACACCCAGAAAAAGTATTTTCAGCGAATGGTAATTCCAGCTGAAATAAAATATTTTACAGTAGATTAGATCTGTGAGTAACGCTGCTGTTATTATGGCACCTGATTTCTCCATTGCGTGCAATTTATTATAGTACTGTTTATACATGTATTCTGTTCGGCTCAGTGGTCTCATTCACTAGTTGCTAGAAGAACTAGTAACTTTATTTGATTTCAAGAACTTCAAGAAGGCGGCATAAGAAACGTGTTTGCAAAGGTAAGTTCTCCAGTTTCAGCAAAATTGAATGTTTATTGGGGTACGATTGGTGTACATTCCGTGACGTACAGACGTCAATATTATGATGATTGCCAGCTTTATATTCTTGTGAAAAGCCAAAAAAGCAAACAATTGTCTCCAATCTACGAAACTAGTTCGTAAACTGTCAAATTATTGTACATGGGGACATAGCTTTCAACAAAATCGATATCCGGTTTTTTGCTTGTGTCGCGTTTTCCGAAATATCCACAACTCGGGGGGGGGGTCCTTGTATCGATCAATTTATTCATTATATAATAGTAGGTTGCCTATGATTATATTCGTATTTTTTATGTTGTGAGCATTAAACTGTTAGTTGTAATGAAGATTTTGCCGATCTCCTGCGATTGAACATGGCGGATGTACAGTGACAACACGTGTATGGACGGTCGGTCGAGT